CCTGTTATTGGCAAATCCGTGGCTCTCTTTAATTAGAATGAATTAAGTTACATAGTTAGGTAACACAAACTGACGTTAAAACAAACCTATGGAAACTTTAATACTTTTTATCTAAACTTTCGAAATTCGCCTCTCAAAGTTATTGTCGCAGTACTTAAAGCAATAAATCAATGTTGCTATCAGAATTATTTTCTTCATTCTCGCATGCAACCGCCTAACTCCAGAGTAACTTCGAAGAAGCCTCTGCAAAACTTGCTTGAAATTGGAGGTGCCATCGGACCCGAATGAGCATTGATATATGGCGCTCTACATAAAGAACACTGCGGCACCTAGGGCTATACAATTCAAGTGGGCAATAATAAATTACTTAAAAGAACAGTATTTAATTTATAATCAAAAGAAATTCAAAAGAGATAGAACCTCCACTAGTAAGATGGAACATATACAAAGACACACAATATATGGGACAAACTTGCAATGAACTGTCTTCATAAAGCTTAAACGAGGATAAACTTCATAAATAATATATTTCATCCGAACAATTTAAATTATTAAATGTAACTGTTACCTTTTAAATAAACTCTCTTACGTCAAATCGGCTGAATCGAGGAACATATATTAAGTGCTTAGTGCAAGTACAAACAAGTAGAAGATTAGAATCAAATGCAGAATTTAAGCTAACAAAAACAAAATATCCAAAACAAGTCTACGTTATATTACTATAGGCCTATATTGAAAAAAAAATGTAAACTTTTCAAAAATTCGGCCAAGTATAGTTTGGCCGTGACTTTTCAAATGCTACGACCAGGCAAATTTTTATACGGCCAGATTTGAGGAATCTGGCCGTCAAAAAGGCCAACTGGCAACCCTGACACACACATGTACTAATGAACCATGATAGCGAATATTTTTAGGTAGGGATTTACTTTAACAGCGCCCTCTATCGACTAAAAAAATAAATTATTATTTTTAGATAAAAATGTACTTTAAATCAACCTTAGTTCTTCATTTTACTATATTTATGTAGGAATAAATTGTAAACTCTTTATTTACATAAATAATGGTAGTGGTATGCTTAAAACTATTAATAACAAATAGTTTCAGTCTTTTAAAGTAAACAAAAGTCAAATTTTAGTGCCCTCAAGTGGCAATATTTTAAAATTATATCGGCTGTTTTAATATGCGGCATGTTTCTATAAACTTCAGTCTGAGTAGCAAAATTTAAATTTTTAAATAAATCAAATTCTATTTTTAATTAGGCCTAGCTTTTGAATAGTATATAATTTAATAGGTAAATCAATTCAACCTCCTTTTATCTATTAAAAAAAAAAGTTATATCATATTTGTTTTCATTGTAAATGTTTAATTTTTTTTTAGATAATAAAGAAGGAAAAGATGAAAAAAAAAAGATTTAGCTGTAATCCAGAAGGAATCAATTAAATCAAGGTGTCAGCAGCAAAATTGGGAAAAATTGAAACTAAATTTTAATGCCTACATGGTACAGAGTAGCATGACTGCACATACAATGAAACGTTACTGTGCTTGCTTCGTAACTGCTACAAATGTTATAAAATGTAACAAGACAGTACTTGTCAGGGAACATAAAGATTCTGTGATAATAAGGTCATGTAACTATATTTGACATAATTATTACCTTTTATGATTACATCATAATCAGGGGCGGATTGTGGGGGGGGGGAGGTTTGGAGGGGAGGGGCGGGGCAAGCCCCAGGCCACCAACCCCCATTGGAAA